TAACGAAGAGACCGCTCTTGAAAGTTACATCACGCCCCTAGATTCGGACGATTCCAATCAAGATGAATACATTGTTTTCAAGGAAGTCATACAAAGTAAATATCTGTAAAAAATAGTATTTTATATAAACTAATTTCGACCAAAATATCCATTATAATCTATATTCTACATATTTTTAAAATTTTTAATTAGATATTGAAAGAACCGACATGACCTGGTATAGGGCGTTAACGAATCTTCTGAGTCCTGAACAAGAGAAAGCTCTACAAGAAATTATCCTGTTGGCAGATCAGCGCAAAGCAGCTTTAGAGAGTAAAAGAATCGAACAGAGCGGAGGTAAATTTATTTCTGCTTTCAATAATTTATTTAATAATTATATAATTGAAAGAGATAATTATTTGCTATATAAATAAAAATGACAATGGATTAATTATTACTTTTCTGTATATTGTTTCATTTACTTAAATCTATGAAAAATATATTTTTAATTTTCTAGGTTACGCCTTTCACTCACAGACTGTGCCCACCTCATTTAACTTTGGTGGAACACCTTTAAGTCGATAAGGACTTTTAATCATTTGAATTTTAGATTAAGTAAGTAAACAAATTATACAAAATTTGGAACAGACAATTGTAGCAATCATTACTACATGATTATTTTGAAAACATTGTGCATTTCCTATTTCCTATTTTTGTGTAAACTAATTGTACATTACTAAGGCAATCCAACAAAGTCTTACTTTAATACAATGACATTAACACTTTATCTCCATGAGATCAGTCTTGTGTATACTGTTGTTTCATTAGTTGAGACAGCAAATTTGCCTTTTAGTGATTATAAGACAGAAAAATGTTTTGGTCATACAAAAGAAAAATGTACATTCTTTTTTATACAAATTATACTTATGAATTATATTCGTATAATTTGATCCAATTGAAGTATAATATCTAGCCAGCTATAATATATTTTCTTTAAAATTCTTTACATAATAATTTTATAAATTATTGTTTCTTATACATGTTTCTTATACATTTTCTCATATAACATTAAATTATTATAATTTTCTTTTTTGGTGTAAATCTTTGAGTCACAAAATTTTAGCGTGGCTTGCTAGATACATACTCTTCGTACAAAATGTATATTTAATAGTCTCGAATCGCATGCCTTAGTCTAAAATTGTTTTAACAAAACAAAATCGCTTAGTTTATATAATTATAAAAACGTTGTGTTAAAAATTGTTGGTATATAAATATATCAAGGAATCTTTGAGTATGTGTATAGACTATATTATTTGATATTATTAATGATTAATTAGAGCAGCAAAACGTTATGCAATACATTCTCCAGATCTATTTGCAAATTACTATTCGACAGCAAAAAAAGAAAGTGTAAGTTGTCAAGGTTACTAAAAATAACTAGAACTGTGTTGCCTACCAGCAATTATTTAGATAAATTTAGATTTTTAAATAAACACTGTTTTTTCAAGTCTTTGTTTAAATGTACATTGTATTATATATATATGGCCAAACATTCTGCACAGCTACCAATCACTTTACGTAAATCCCAGCACAGCTACTTTATTTTGGAAAAACTAATTTTATATCATATATTTTATCCACAATATACTCTGAAAGATGGAGCTGCATCAAATTAGCACAAGCTTAGCTATTTGGCTTAGCAAAAGCAATTTAGATAGCTTTTATAACTATGTAACAAAATCTTTGCAATCATAGATCTTGTGGAATATAATTACAGTACACCATAAAAAAAAAAGCATCAACGAAAACACAAATAAATTTAAAGCATAGCTCTTTCTTTCATGAGATGTGTATTGTAATTATATAGGACGAACTTGGAGCAGAAATAAATTATAAATATCAGAGCCCAAAATGATAAAGGCGTACAAAGAAGAGGTGTTCTGTGCTGTGGTTAGTGAAATGATTACTGCACAAGTGCTTTTTTATTAGGATGCAAAAGAATGCATGCATCAATTACATGTCGCTTCAAAGTACAAGTCATAATCTGTATTTAAAAAATTTTTTATTAAAATGATTGGATTAGTGAAACTACGTTTTTTATCAATATCTTGTTGAGAAAGAATATCATATATGTATCTGATATATATTTATGAATATTTATACTTACCAGATTTTTGTTTTGTTTGTCGAATATACGATCTTACAATTAGCTGTTTCACACATAAAACTGCAAGAAATGTGCAATAATTTTAATTACATGTAATATAAATTTTTTCTGATTTTTCTGGTAAAGATTATATACAGGGTGCATGCAAATATATAATAAATATGGTATAGACGAGAAACGATATATAGTAGATTATGTTAATGTCTATTGATTAGTATGTTTTCAAAAAAATCACAGACATATATAAAATATATAGATTTGTCATTATTTAAAAACTTCAATAAAATTTTAGATGCAATTTTAACATAGGATTCAATAAAAAAATGTTTTTATTGTAAATCAAAACAAAGTTTTGCAATTTTTTAATATGCTCCCTAAAGCATATTTAGAATTGCTCAACTGTACATGGTTAGCTTCTATTTGTTCATAATAAATATTAGTATTTTAAAATCTAATAATATAAAATAATATGAGACAAGAAGATATAGAAAAGTGTATGTTTATAATATTGCTCAATATTTTTAAAATGTATTATATATGAAATGCATGTCTCTTTTTTTAAATTTTAAAAGGCTGGTAATATTTTATATGTAACAGGAGATGATTTCAAATTGTAAATATCAGAAAGTTACATGGCTGATTGATATACATAGTAAAATTGAATTGCTTGAAGTTGGTAAGAGGTGCTTAAATTATAAAAAAATTCTGTAGATATACACGAGATATATTAAAAGGAATCATTTTTCTAACATAATTAAGGATACTTGAATTGTGTACTCCTTGTATTTTCGCCAATTTTATTTTGCAGTACCCTGCTTTTAGCTTTACTTGGAATTACGACTATTATCTATTTCTTGCAGCGTTTATATCAGAAATATATATAAAGCATAAGCAATTTCTAATATCATATCTATTTCATAAATGATATGACGTGCTCAAATAAAGATGCCATCACTCTTTATATTGTGATCCGAACTCGCGACCTATTATTTGCTTAAAATCTTTGTGCATGTAATGAGAAAAAGTTAATTGATTAAGTCACTTTTTCTCAAAGAAGAATATTTAAAAAAGTGCCTTGAGATGTTTAATGCAGATGGGACCTAAATTAAAGAATACAGCAGAGTAAGCTGTAGGTCGGAGTGAGGCCAGGACACTTCTCTAGTTCATAAGTTCTATAAGTATACTGTGTATTAAAGTATAATAAATTAACAATAACTGATAGAGAAGACAAAAGCTGTTCCTTTGCTCTTTATAGGATACGAACCGCAACTTCTTTGTAATGGATATTTACCGCACACATTCTCTCGATAATTTTTATATAATGATATATATATATATA